CCCCCACCCCCAGAGCCAGCTGGTGGAGCTTGCTCATTCTCTCTGTGCTGGGCTGTTGTAATTGAGCAGAGTTGGCGCCACAGAGATGTCCAATGAGAGAGGCTTGAATGGAATCTAAATATCCATAAGCAGATTGCAGAAACTAAATATAGCAGATTTCCAAAAAGGACATAGACTTAAAAAAAAAAAAAGAAAATAATTGTGGCTGGGTGCAGTGCCTCACGCCTGTAATCTCAGCACTTTGGGAGGTGGAGGCAAGAAGATTGCCTAAGTCTAGGGGTTCGAGATAAGCCTGGGCAACTTGGTGAGACCTTGTCTCTACAATAATAAAAAAAATTAGCCAGGTACAGTGACACACGCCTGTGGTTCCAGCTACTTGGGAAGCTGAGACAGAAAGATCGTCTGAGCCCAGTAGGTCGAGGCTGCGGTGGCTATGAGCAGTGTGCCACTGCACTCCAGCCTGGGTGACAGAGTGAGACTCCGACTCAAAAAAGAAAATGCTTGCATGTCTCTATATGGAAAAGATACTGAGTTGCTGAGAGCTTTTGGCTCTCTGTGGTGGAAATATTAGTGATCCTTAATGGTTCTTTTGCTTGTATTTTCTGATTATCCAGGATTGAACATGCAATGCTTTTGTATTCAAAGAAAGAGAGACATTGGCCAGGCTCAGTGGCTCAGCCTGTAATCCCGGCACTTTGGGAGGCCGAGGCGAGTGGATTGCCTGAGCTTGCGGGTTCGAGACTCACCCGGCCAACTTGGTGAGACCTCGTCTCTATAATAAATAAAAAATTAGCCGGGCGTGGTAGCACACACCTGTAGTTCCAGCTACTTGGAAGGCTGAGGCGGAAGGATCTCTGGAGCCCAGCAGGACAAGGCTGCGGTGGCCAGAAGTGTGCTACTGCACTCCAGTCTGGGCGACACAGTGAGACTCCAACTCAAAGATATCGCTGCCCAGGTGGGTCCCGAACCCGCGGGCTCAGGCAATCCACTCACCTCAGTCTCCCAAAGGCGCGGATTACAGGCTGAGCCACTGAGCCCGACTTGTTGCTTGTTTTTTGTAGGGTTAGGGATCTCACTCTGTAGCCCAGGCTGGAGAGCAATGGCATGATCTCAGCTCACCACAACCTTGAACACCTGAGCTCAAGCAATCCTCTCGTTTCAGTCTCCTGAGTAGCTAGTACTACAGGTGTGCAAAGCCATGCCTGGCTAATTTTTTGTAGAGTTGGCATCTTGCTATGTTATCAAGGCTAGTCTCAAACTTGTGGCCTCAAGCAGTCCTTTCATCTTGGCCTCCCAAAGGGCTGGGATTACAGGTGTGAACTACTGCACCCAATCTGCTTTTACTTCTTTTTTTACATCAACCAGCATAAAAATTATTAGTTGAAAAGCTCATGCAAATGCAAAAAAGAAGATGAAAACTGATTTAAAAATAAATGAAAGATAGTCAGGGGCAGGGTGGGAAGAAAAAAAGAAATATATAGCTTATATTAAGGGTTACAGAACTGCCACAAAGTGTACCTAGAGTATCCATTTGATCATTTGAAACTGCTCCTGGAGAGGGTAGACTACAGCAGCTGGGGTGGGGACAGTCAGATGCTAGACAAAAGGGACATTCCTACCATCTGGAAGAGAGGGTCACTTTCTTCCTCATTCATTCCTCACAAGTATTTATCGAGGCCTGGCTGCATGCAGGAGCTGGAGATCTGGTGACAAAGACAGACCAGGTCGCTGTCTCCTGGCACATCCATTCTATGGGGGTGGGGAACTGAGGAGGTTGTGAGTCTTCCTGAAGCTCCCTCAGCAAAGACCCTCCCTTTGCCTGGGCTGAGGAGAGGGCTGAGCTCAGGTGGGCCATGTGTGCACTGCTTGATCGCCACATTCCCATGGTCTGAGACTGAGATGGTGCAGAGTCATAAGCGGGGAGATCCCTGGAGGATCTGGAGCAATGACAGGAGGACACCTGGGGCCTGTCATCCCTGCCTCCGTGCTGTGTCCTGGGTAGGTCCTTTATCTGGAATGCCCTTTCCTCTGCTCCCCTGGATTCTGCTCCTCTGCCAAGCCCACTCCTCCAAGAAGCCCTCCCTCACCATCTTAGTTCCTCTTCTCTTGGTCCGAATACACAAACAACGCTGAGAGTTTCTAACACACCAGAAGAGCACAATCTAACACCTGGATACCCTGTCAAAGTACCCAAGTATGATGAGAAGGACATTTGCATAGTCCCAAAGTATCTCATGCATAACCACTAATTACAAAGGTGTGGAGTGACACGGCTGACCCCACCCTAAGCCAGTGATCAAACTTAATCTCACCAGAAACAGTATATAGACATCATTTGCCTTTGATATGCACGGAGGATGGCACAACATCCCTTCTGTGCTATTCATGCCAAAATTGCATAACCATAATTTATGTGTGACAAAACCTCAGACACACCCAGACTGACTGACATTCTGTTGTTTTTTTTTTTGAGTTGGAGTCTCACTCTGTCACCCAGACTGGAGTGCAATGGCCGCTCCCGGCCACTGCAGCCTCGATCTGCTGGGCTCTGATAATCCTTCCGCCTCAGCCTTCCAAGTAGCTGGAACTACAGGCGCGCGCTACCATGCCTGGCTAATTTTTGACTTGTTGTAGAGATGAGGTCTCGTCAAGTTGCCCAGGCAGGTCTCGAACTCACAGGCTCAGGCAATCCACTCACCTCGGCCTCTCAAAGT